ATTCAACCCGATATATTGATTTTGTGCTTTTTGCTATTTAATAGGCCCTAGTTCCCCACTTACACGCATTCATCAAAAGCCCTATATACAAGATAGATATGTAAGATGCCTCACCTTACTCAGCAACTTTCCATCCAAATCTTGTTTCTCAGTCAGCCCCATAATTGCCGTAATTACTATAGGATATTTTTGCTAAGTAAGTTTTTATTTTCGACTGGTTGAAATTCTCATAAGAATATGTTATATTGTATATCTTCTCGTATGCCAATCGGGTAGATGCAGATCTATTTACACAAACTTATATTGTATTTTTGAATTTGTTTTCCATCTGATCAGTTTGGGCTGTTATCGCTAATTATGAGTCGAACTCATAACAATTACTTTACCGCCGTTCAAAACTTTTTATTGAGTACCATCCGTTTCAAAATTCAAATATTTAAGTATGTTAGATTCTATTTTTTGTCACCTACACGTTTTAAATATAATTTCGGTAGGGTTTCGACAACTTTCTTGCTATTTGCTTTGCGTTTATGGTCTTTCCTATTCATTTGTTTTATCTTGGATATATATATATCCTTATATATTTAATGAATAGCCTCTCTAACTCTCTCCCTCTCTATATATATATATATCTTTTACTTCACCTGCATTATCATTCATGGACAAATATATAATGCTTTTTATAGGCTGTTGCAGCTGCAGTCGCAAATCCTATGGCCGCTGCTATGCAGCACTACCTTTCTGCTGGAGGTGTTTATGCTCATCACCAGCAGCAACAGGCTGCGCATCAGCAACAGCAACAGCAGCAGGCTGTGCAACAACAACAACAACCAGTCAATGTGCGTGCTGCAGCACTAACTCATCACCAACAATTATTGCAGCAGCACCAGCAGCATCAACAGCAAGTGCATGCTGCTCAAGCACAAGCACAGACGCAATTTATGCAACAAGTACATGGACTAGCAGCTGTACAGCAGGCTCAACAACAGCATGCAGTTCTGGGCACTACACAAGCGCATCCTTCACACCAACACCTACAACAGCAACAGCATCAGCATCATCATCACCAACAGCAACAGCTGCAACAGCAACAGCTGCAGTTACAGCAACAACAAGTCCAACACCAGGTGCATCATCAACTCTTACAAGACTTTAGACTTCCGGATATGTAAAGCTGATTGCATCCCCCACGCCCTCTCCAGTCCATTTTCTCATTTCCCATCTTCTCTATTCTCTTAATCACTCGTCAGCTCCATATTGGCCCCATGAAACGTGCCATTCCATCTGAATTTTCAGATGCCCCTCCTTTCCCCAAGGCTACTTGCTAGCCAGCTTGTACACAGGCATGGGCATACCCACTGTCCACATTCACATATCCATCTGACCCCTTTTGTATATGGTCGAAATTCCTCCATTCTAATGTGTTTTATAAACTTATCACTAGCATTCTCACTCAATTGTGAAACTCCAAGTTTTGTGGCAGTACCAGTATGCCATTTCTGGTTGTCAGCTTTCACGTAATATTCGTGCTTGGAAAAATCTGCTACTTATTTCGAATTATTCTCTTATCCACCTGTGTATACAGTCACTTTTCATACATACATCCATATTTACATGCTTATGCTTGCATGTATTTATGTACGTATACACATTTGTACGCATTTGAGTACATGCGTATTTTTCATCTCGGTGTTATGCTTGCCATTAGATCAACATGAGTTTCCAAGGTTAATTGTACCCTCTGGCCACTCATTTTTGCGCTAGTTACTCATATCTTAGGGAAATTGATTCCCGATTACGATGCTTCCCATTTATAATCTACCCTTATCCTTGGAGGCCGCCTTGTATGGTTCTTTGTGTCATCAGGGTGCACTAAACTTCTTTTAGATCTGGCCATTATGCTCTCTTAGCTGCTCTGTATTTCGGCTTTCTTGTTTCTTGCGGTCTCGGATGTTAATTTTCTTTCT